TTTGGATTTGGCCGAGCTCTGCTTCCCACCACCGAGATTGCAGCGACTGCCGTCTGCCTCGCCGGCTAGCGCCACCGACATCCATCGAGTTCGCCATGCCACCGCCAGCTCCCAGTGCTCACCCTCCGCCTCAGGTTAGTAGTTGTTGTGTTGCTGCTGCCATCTCTCGGCCTAATAAATCCTGCAACCTCTGTTGATTGATGCGATGAATGAGGAGAATTTGGTGGTTGCCGCTGATTTCGGTGGTTTGAGCGTCCATTTTAGGGAGAAGACTCAAAATTTGGAGGGAGTCGACCAGGGCCACAAACATGTAACACCCCCTATATGGGCTGTCACCATGTGGTTTGTACCTGTGTGTGGGCTACAAGATGGGCCAAGGGATATCCGTGTGTGGGCCTAGTGAGAGGAGTATATGTATCACGTTGTAACACCAAAGGGATCCAGGTTGCAGATGAATGAACTCTGAAGATTTTCTCACCTCCCGTTCTCTTGTTCCTCAGTCCCTTCTCTGATTCCTCACCCTAATTCTCCTCGAATTATCCCAAACTACCATGGTACTCAGGTGATTTGTCCGATCTCGATCCATTCCACGATCGGGTCGTGACAATTTGGTAATCAGAGCCCCAAAATTTCCTCAAAAATTTGCTTTCGCTGTGTGTTCCTCAACTCTCTCACCAGATCCGTAACATCCACTGCCCTGGATGTGCTTTGCTTCGGTGAATCGCAGAAAATCCCTGTGCTAGGTTGGATCTGCTTGGAGTGGAGCAACAGCACCATCCAAACCCTCAGTGCATAGCCAGGAAAACAATCACCACCCTTCCTGCCTACCAGGTGTTCGACAAAATGACGAGCCAGCAAGAGATGTTCACTGGTGGTGTTCTCCGCATCATTGTGCACCATGTGTACTACCCGGTCAATGAGGAGACATTGCAACAGGTGTTTACAGCGTATGGCGTGGTGAAGATCTCCGTGTTCCCGAAAATCCACCATGTGGAGGCGGTGGTTCAAGTTCGATCAAGAAGCGGGGCAGCGCGTGCTCTCGCCATGCATGGCCGGTGCATCTACGAGCGTGCATGCCTCCTTGACATCCAGGACGTGTCGCCGGAGTACAAGCTACACTTGTGCTCGCTGCTCGAGCAGAAGCAGACCGCAACAGTGGCCAAGTACACGGCGACATTCTGGGAATGCGTACAACACATACTGGATATCAACCCAAACCTGAGCATCAAGAGCTTCATCCACCAGTACATCGAGGGCTTGCGGGAAGATATCCAAGATGCCGTGCGGTCGCGATCTCCATCAAGCATCACTGCTGCTTCGTCCCTTGCCCGGATAAGAGAGGATGAAATCGCCGAGGAGGAAGCGATGGCTACGAAGAAACTTGACGATGACCATGGAGTTCACGTCCTCATGCCTACAGTGATAGTAACGGACGTCTTCCCCGAGCTCGCGGCCCCAGGAGAGTGCGGTGCAGACCATGGCGTCATTGCCATTGACAATAGTAGCCTTGCTGCACCGATGCCTACCACATTTTCGATGGAGTGTCCGAGTCATGAAGCCAGCTTTGACATCTTCGCCGAACCTACATGCTCTGTTGTGTGCGATATGACCATCGTCATTGACATCGCCAGTGTGAGGGTACCAACGCCTGCTACCTGCTCGACGGATGTTATGACCCATGGCGAGGCCAACAGTTCCGTGGCGAGGCCCCTGGTCGTGGCGAGTATGACCCCATTCCCCCCAACTCCTCCAGAGGTCACGCCAATGCCAGCGCGACGACCATGTTCCATCCTCGAGCTGGACATCATGGTGCTGACAAGGTGTTCGACCCTATGCTTGATTGACAACATTGGCGTGCAGACAGCCGCCTTCCAACTGGATGTGACTCCGAACAACAAAGAAACAAGAGCATATGCTCAGGCCATCGCCATGGCCTTCATTCATCCCCGAGCACCCAAGTTCAGCTGGCAGTGGCATCGCTGAGCCACCACTGACTGCCGCCAGCCTCAGCCTACGGCATGGTAGAATATTCTGTGAGTCGACTACATGTCTTGCTCTGATTTTATCCTGGGTCCTCTCTATGTTGGATGTGAATATCTCCTCTGATAGTCTGAATCTGGTTGAAGAAAGAGTCGACAACATTATTGGTCATCATGCATTGAAGTCACAGTTACTAGACTTCCTGTGTGAATGTTTGATAGCTTCTGGTTCAAACACAGTATCAGGTTCCACAAAAATTGTACCAACAGCACGTGAGGCTATTTGGTATCCAGCTCATGCAGTTGACACTATGTCCCTTGGTGCACACCAATTTTCGTCTCCTTTAACTAGCCCATGGAGACAAGGTCACTCAAAGTTGGATGTTACGTTCTGGATGCTTACATGGTGGTCACATACTCATTATGTGCAGCCACCCAGTACTATTTTTAAAGCTCACAATCATTTTCTTGTTACCAGCTTGTCTCAATGGAGCTCTGTGATAGGAGATTCAAATTCCATCTTTGCAATTCAAGATGTGGAACAGGGGGTGCTTCCTATGGTAACAAGTTCAGCTACCAGACTATGGGACCCAGGAATCTTTGATGTTCAGTGCCTCAGCGCTATTAAGTTTCTTTCAACCACATGGGTGCCATGCTTATTTGTTCCTGCTACGAAAGATTATCTTAGTCATGGACTTGAGCTTTCAGCTGCAACACAGCAGGATCCTAGAATTCGACACTTTATTCTTCTACCTTGCTGCTTCTTGGAAAAACCGGATGTCTGTGCTGGTACAGTGGTGCACCTGGGCAATAGAAACTTTGTTGTGACTGAATTTGAATATATACAGGAGCAGGACAAGGGAAATTCCATTTTGATTCAAGTGACTGCAGTAATCGGCACATTTGGTTCTCTAACTTGCACGTACCAGAGGACATATTTTTCTGGAAGGCAATGGGACCCTGGGATTATGCAGTTTATCTTTGGAACTTGGGTATCATCTAGTGGCAACGTCTTGCATACACACATTCTCCACTTATCTGCAATTTATTGTTGGCTGGACTGTGATATGCAACCTGGTTATTTGGGACACATGGTTGTGATACTACCATCGGCTCTATTTTGGTTTCCAAAGTGGCCTCTCTCTAAAATGCAGCAAGCTGAGAACTACATGATGCTTCCTCCAGAAAATATTGCTCGAGCCATGTTCGAATTAAACCTTGGGATGATAACACTTGAGTTCTCTCGAGATCGTTCAGCTAGCCACTTGCCCCTTCAGTTCCTTGCATTTCTTCGCACCAGCAGAATTGAGATATATTCTTCTGGGACCCAATGCTCACTTTTTCCATGGTGGTTTTCATCTGATCGACGAGCAATTCATGAGCGGACACCACAGATCACAATATATATGCATGTGCAGATGTTCTTAGGAGGCCTCATTTTTTGAGATGAATCATCGACCTCAAGGCACCATAGAAACTGCAGCCATGCTGTGGCACCATTCTACCAACCAGCTGCTTGTTTGTATCATTCACATTGGGGAGCCCGTGAAGGGAGAGAACATAACTTGCACTCGTCTGCTTGCTGTCAAGGAAGGAACCCCAAGTTGGTTTAGATTTATCTTGTGTGTGAACAACATGCCCCACTTCTCAGCTACAGCTCCATTTGAAACTGAATTAGTGTCATCTTCCAATGAGCTGATCAGGTGCACGCACATGCTACTGCCATATGACCCAGGAGGACTAGCTCTTCACTTCGATGAGATTGGAGGTACCCGGAATTCAAGCTTGATCATCATCGGCTTGGGGGCAAGCCGATTTTCAAGGGAGGAAGAGTGTAACACCCCCTATATGGGCTGTCACCATGTGGTTTGTACCTGTGTGTGGGCTACAAGATGGGCCAAGGGATATCCGTGTGTGGGCCTAGTGAGAGGAGTATATGTATCACGTTGTAACACCAAAGGGATCCAGGTTGCAGATGAATGAACTCTGAAGATTTTCTCACCTCCCGTTCTCTTGTTCCTCAGCCCCTTCTCTGATTCCTCACCCTAATTCTCCTCGAATTATCCCAAACTACCAAGGTACTCAGGTGATTTGTCCGATCTCGATCCATTCCACGATCGGGTCGTGACAAAACATTAGTTCCCGCACGCTGCCTGTTCGATGAAATGCCCACAGCACCCCCAGCGACATCTGAGGTCTTCTTCACCTCTCTTCCCGCACACTACCTATTCGATGAAATGTCCTGAATCTAGCTGAATACGACACGGTATAGCTGAATCCTGAATCTAGTTAACGTGCTTTCATACACCAATATACTCTTTTTCCTTCATTAGAATGGCTCATCTTTGTAAAGGTTGTGTTCTTATCTGATAGAGAAACTATGCTCTAATATGTGTATTCCATATGCCTTCCCTCTTCCCTACAGGTATGAAGGACAACATGACATGCTGTACTTCTGCATCAGAGTGAATTAAAGATGATCAACACACTGTATGTTGCCTTAGTTTCCTATCTAGTTCATGTTAGATTTTGATTCTAGCTCCCAGACTTATCTTGAATTGTGTTTCATTTAACACATGACTGCGGAAAACTGCCAATAATTAAAGAGCTGAAATGGATGACGGAAACAGTCAGGATTGAAGATATATATATGTATGCAGCATCGTGTTGTTTTACCAGATTCTTCATGTTTTCAAGATTCTCATTTGACTGTCTATCTTTTCTGTCTACTTTTGTTTCAATTGCATCTGAATCCATACCTGCTTCTGTATTTTGCAGGGCATGCAATACGAGATGATGGATCTTATGTATGTGAGCAATGAAATACAAGAAACTATCAGTAGAAACTACTACGTCCCAGATTACATTGATGAGGAGGTATTGAGTCAACTAGTTTTCCTTGCTGTTGGTAATTTCCCTGCTCGTAGCTCCGTATGTGGTAATTTTCCTGGAAGTCCTTTCACCGTGGTATTTTCCTATATTAGGAGATTTTCTACAAATACATAGACTTAGAATGAGTCATCAACTCATCCCGTGTGGCATATGAGTGACTCTAGTCTAAAGCAGGAACCCAAATTGGCCTCCTCTACGATAGTCCCTGGCTCCTCACCAGAATTCGGATCACATGTCAACATGTATCCCTTGCTCTAGTGTTAGTGCACTGAAAGGCACGGAAGAGGAACTAGAAGAGGGTCGCTGGATGAGTGTCTGGTATGCCTGCCTCATGGTTGGCCTTGCTTGTGGAGAAGATTCCAACCAAGAGAAGGCCAGCTTGATGAGCAGAGCTAAGCTATTCTCTTCTGTTGCTGTTGGTGTTGTCGGTCGCTGGTCCAGAATATCTTTCACCAGCATAGCTTGTTTCCCATTTGAAAAACTACCGTCTAATAGATCCCTTGGATGCTTCCCCATAAGTAGCTCTAGCACAACCACGCCAAAGCTATAGACATCACATTTCTCCGTGACAACAGATGTGTACGAGAGTTCTGCACATAATCAAGACATTAGAGTTAGGAACAAATAGATAAAGATAAATGATTCAGACGTGAGAAGGAAGGTTATACTAGTACATACCAGGAGCTATGTACCCATACGTCCCCGCTAGTGCACTCCAGTTTGATGAATCAGGCTTAAGAATCCTTGCTGTGCCGAAATCCGAGACGAAAGCCTTGAAGGTTGCATCAAGTAAGATGTTGTTGCTCGTTATATCTCGATGGATTATAGGTGGATTGCACTCGTGGTGCAAATAAGATATTGCTTGAGCCACATCATTTACAGCAACAATTCTCTTCTGCCAATCCAATTCCTTCGCTAGCTCATCATTTTCCAATGTTCGGTGGAGGCTTCCCTGCTGAATGTAGTCGTAGACAAGAAATTTATATGCTGAATGGGAGCAGAATCCATACATTTTGACAATGCTTCTTTGGCGGATCTGTAATAAGATTTCCATTTCACTGCGAAACCATCTTTCATCATCCAACTCTTCTTCTGTCTGATGAAGCTTCTTCACAGCAACTAGCTGCCCATCTTGGAGTTGTGCCTTGTACACTTTGCCGCATCCTCCTGTTCCAATGATGTACTTATCATCGAAGTTTTCGGTCGCCCTTACAATATCATCAAATGCTAATCTTCCGTCGAAATTCCAAACAGAGAATAGGTCCCTTGCTTCAGCAGTAACACTTTCTTGTGGATTTCTCTTCTTACGAGTAAGTATTATTATGACAACAATTGCAGCAACAATGATGAAACCCATCACAAGAACAATTGGCAAAAGCAAACCAAGTATCTTCCCCTTTTTGTGAGCAGCTACTGGAGTTGAATAACAAGGTGGCAGGCCAGAGAGGTTACCACATAGACCTTTATTGGGAAGAAACCAACTTGCTGAAGCATTTTGGAGTAGCCATGCTGTTGGGACCGGTCCTTCCAAGTCATTGTAGGACACATCAACTGTTGAAAGGCTCACCATGCTTGCAAAGGACGACGGAATGCTGCCACTGAACTGATTGTGTGATAAATTAAAAAATTCTAGCATCTCCAACTTCCCAAGTTGCTGCGGTAACATGCCAGTTAAGTTATTGTTGCTCACATCTAACATGATCTGCAGGCCTGCTAAATTTCCAATCGCACCTGGCAAACTTCCACTGAAGTTGTTGTTGTTGATCTTCAAGGACAGTAGTTTCATGCTGGTCCCTAGTTCCTCAGGTATTATTCCACTCAGTCTGTTCCCAGATATATCAAGGTATTGTAGATTGCGTAGCTTTTCTATCTGTGTGGGTATGGTTCCAGATAATTGGTTTGATGATAAGTTCAGTCTATATAGATTATTTAAACTACAGATTTCTGGTGGAATCGCACCATGGAGATGATTAGAATCGAGTGCTAGTTCTTCTAGGTTGGATAATTTAGAAAGGATCGGTGGAATGGAACCCATGAGCATATTTTGTGCTAGATGTAGGACCATTAGTTGGGTACATGCACCAAAATTGAGTGAGATCTGCCCAGAGAATCTGTTCGATGTCAAGGACATCGTCATGAGTCGTGGATACACACCAAAATACTGAGATATATCACCTGATAGTTGGTTCAACTCAAGGTAAACTTGTTTCAAACCCGTGCAAGTCTTTAAACTACTGGGAATGGGGCCATCAAACATATTGGAAGAAACATCGAAATATTCAAGTTTGCCACCTGAACATATATTTGCAGGTAATGGTCCTGAAAGTGAGTTTTTAGACACCCCAAATTCAACAAGGCTGATGAGATCTCCAAATTGTTGAGGAAGAGAACCTGATAAATTGTTATTAAAGATTTGCAGTTTTCTAATCCTTTGCAGCTTCCCAAAAGTTTTTGGTATTGATCCTGAAATTTGGTTCTGATACAAGCCTAAATATTCGAGGTTCATCAGATTGCCAATCCCATGGGGGATGGAACCGGTTATCTGATTTACAGAGAGGGATAGTCGTATCAGCTTGGTTATATTTCCTAAGCTGCCAGGAATAGAGCCAGATATTTGGTTGTGGGAGAAGTCTAAAAACCGGAGATTCGACAAGATGCTCAATTTTGAAGGTACTGTACCTGTGATTTGATTTGCATAAAGTGAAAGTTCATTGAGCATAGTGAGGTTCCCTAGTTCTAGGGGTATTGAACCTGTTATTTGGTTTGTGTTGAGATCAAGTTGGTTTAGCATAGTGAGATTGCCTAGTTCTGGGGGTATCCGACCTGTGATCTGATTGTTGGAGAGAAAAAGTGTGTTCATCTTAGTGAGATTGGCTATGGAGATTGGAATTGGACCTGAAAAATAATTTATACTAAGCTCTAGACTTTGCAAATTGACCAGCTTGCCTAGTTCTTGGGGTATAGGCCCTGAAAGTAGATTGCCATACAGGTACAAAATATTTAGCTGGGTTAAATTTCCAAGGATTTTTGGTATCAAACCGCTTAAGGTGCTGTTGCTTAGCTGTAGAAGTTGTAGGTTGACAAGCCTTCCAATCTCCTCAGGAATGGGACCTGATACCATGTTTTGGTCAATGATAAGATCATTTAACATTGTTAGGTTGCCCAAAGACGCAGGAATATGTCCTGTGAGTCTGTTAAATGAGAGCTCAAGCACCCTCAGACTTTGCAGGCCACCAATCTCATAGGGAATTTTCCATGTGAGCTGGTTGTAGGGAAGGTAGAGTTCCAAAAGTGATGACAGGCAGCTGATACTAGCGGGTAGTGCACCATGGAGACTGTTGTTGCTGAGGTCAATATATGTGAGGAATGCAAGAGCTGAGAAGTTGAGCTCACCAAGCTGGCCCCTGATGCCAGCATCCGGCAGGGAGATGTCGGTAACTACCCTGGGCATGCGGCGGCCATGGCGAACAGCTGTGCACACGATGCCCGTCCAATTGCAGGGGGTGGTGTTTTCCTGCCAAGAGCTCATCTGCACCGGTGGGCTTGCAAGTGTATCTTTCCAGTGGAGGAGGGCCATGCGTTGAGACCTCAGTGAGATCCCTCCATGGCACGCCGCATGTGCTTCTTCCACGAGAAATAGGCAGGGCATGAGCAGTAGGCAGAGGTACAACACAGGTTGCATTTTGCTGCCTAGTGTTTGCATCTGGAATTCGGGAATGTGTTTTCTTGGGGAAGTGATTGAGGACACACTCTGTTGATGGGTATTTAACCAGTGTGTCGTCCATGGTCATGAGGTCTTCAGTCAACTCGCAACAGCTGAGTGGAAGCTTCTTTTTTCTTGGAAAGGAATTGAGTGGATGACTCTTTTTCGGTGTCTGCCACCATCTCTTCGTCGTTGCTGCTGGGCTGCCTGTTATTTTGAAGGCATGGATAGGAAGGGTACCGACAGCGGACGCGTACGTACTGATCTTATATTTACCAAATTTCCTCTGTCTACAACTTATGCACCGAATGGACTTGTGATTCAGTTAACATCGTGGCAGAGATTTTATTTGATGTTATCTCGTGTGATTGGTTTGATAGTGTTTCTTGTTTATTTGATCATGTAGCTTGTAACTGCTTCAGTTATGTGTCTTGAGCTATTCTCTAAAATGTTTCGCTTTTTGCTTCTCAGCTTGGGGTATAGAAAAAAAGATTTAGCCCCAAGTGGTGGCACAACACAACGGTTAACCGTGGGAAAATTCCGTGCTAGAATTACATAGAAATAAGGAAGTCTTTTTGGAAGTCATGTGTCCGAGCAAAAAGAGGTAGTGGCTGTAATCTGTGGAATTCAAAGCCTGTACAATAAAGCAGCATCATGACCACACTGGCTGAAGAAAAGTTCAAAGCTCAGGTGGGTTGATTCGGTAAAATTCCAGTACTAGTGCTTTCTGTAATGTTGGCTGCCGTGTAACATCCAACACGCTAGTATTCCCAGCTATGCCCCCTTTGTAATTTACGAGTAGTCAGAAGTGTGCAAATTATCACTTTGGTAGCTCCAGGATAGCAGGGATGTGCGTAGATATGTACAGTAACACATAGCAGAAACAGCAATGAGCACTTGTACGCATGAGATGGAGATAAAACACAGTAAGTTTCAGCTGGACTAAAATTATTGGTACTAGCTAAGTGCCTCATGCCTCGTTGCTAGAAACAAATATTACGGTTGCACATCCTGTTCTTAGCACATCCACGGTTGCACTAGCCGAGTTGAATTTTGAGGTGAATTGCCATCTACTTTTATGATACTAAAGAAGATCATGGCATGAAGAAATAAGAAGGTTTTATCTTTGTTCCATGCCAATCTCGCCAACCAATGCCTGAAAAGTAAGCCACCAATACTCTACTACTCCCTCTGATCCATATTAATTGTCATTGATTTAGTAAAAAGTTGTACTAAATCAGCGACTACTAATATGGATCGGATTGTACTAAATCAGCGACAATTAATATGGATCGGAGGGAGTAGTAAATTATTTGTTGTTCCATGTCAGGCATTCTCTTGTGAGTATATACACATATGGAACCCCGTAAAATTTAGAGCAGACGACAAATTTCCAATCTTTGCTTGCCTGCAGGACTGTTGATGTTGACCAAAGGTCTCTGAATGATTATTCACACTGTTATGTTTGCTGCTAATTAAATTTCCTGTGTAAGTATGCACTGGTTGCTTTGATTCGGGTGGCTGTGGATGACAATGCTTGTCTCTCAACCAGTAAAATAATGTGTCAACAGTACTGGAGGATGAACTGGGAGTCTGGGAGACTGGGACTGTCAACAGTACTGTGCCGCACGCATCAGTTTATACCTGAATCTCGACGTCGATGATGAACACTTCCGCTTCTTCCTGGACAGATTCATTGTATCTTTCCTCCTATATCACAGTAATTCATTGAACGATGGGATGGCTCTTCATTGTTTGTTTTGGAACGATGATGTATCGATGTTGCAATTATCAGTATATATATACACGTACTGAATTGGAGAAAGTAAGCACAGGATGGCAACCTCCTCTGATCAACCTCCATTCGAAGGTGAGTTGTTCTCTGAACTCGACGATTGTCCAAAGATTATTATGTTAGGTGCTAATTATCCTGTATAAACAGGCACTTCTCTATGCACCCGCCCTGCACTGGACACACATTTTATCTATGTCCATCTGAGAAAAGCTTTTTAAAAACCAAGAACTTTTCAAGAAACACATAAAAAATGCATATAAGTTTTTTATGCGAATATAATTTTATGTATACGCTAATATATTTTAAATATGCATCGAATTTTTTTAACTATTCCCTCCGTTACTAAATAGTCTTTTTAGAGATTCCAATACGGAAATATATACGGAGCAAAATGAGTGAATCTACACTCTAAAATATATCTATGTACATCCATATGTAGTGTATAATAAAATTTCTAAAAAGACTTATATTTTGGAACGGAGGGAGTATTTTTTCAGAAGTATGGATATTTGTATGTACATACCTGAGCATTTTTATATTTCCCCACCTATAAGTTTTTACATTTTTCAAAACTCATTAACAGTAGTTCTTTTTTAATCTGCGAAACAAATTTTTTTTGAAAATAATAATAATAATAGAAAACCCGGTTCAAATCCATAATGGGCCGGCCAAGGGAACTCTTCTAGCTTGTGCGACGAATAGGCGGATTCTCCATTTTGTGGCCTGCGGGCCACCGAAGCCGCCGCGGCTGCGTCCTCGCCGGCATCCACCTCCCCGCCGCGAAGCCGGAACACCGAGCTTTGGGCCGCGCCTGCGTCAAAGTGCAGCGACTCTGGTGTCCGCGAGCTCTGCCGCGGCTCCACGCCACGCCACCGCCTCGTGCTCTCTCGGTCTAATAAATCCTACATCTTCTGGTGATTGCTGCTGCTGATTTTGGTGGTTTGAGCATTGATTTAAGGGAGGAGAGAATTTGGAGGAGGGAGGCGACGGCACACCACCAGTTGGATGAAATGCATCAGCGACGTCTTCTTCTCCCCTCTCTCCAGCAACCAACCGGTCCATTCTGCCACCCATCAATCCTGACAAGTCACCGTCTTAACATGGACAAGAGACAAGTGGAATGCTCTTGTTGCTCCGTGCTGCTGGCCTTACCCTATAGCATTTAATCATTCTTTTGTGGGGGTAGCCTGTTGGTTTATTATTCTAATATTTATACTCCACATGTTTTCCCTACAAGTATGAAGGGCAGCGTGACATGCTGTACAACCAAACTTATAATCTTGACCAAGTTGCTTTCGCGTCCGAGGGAATTAAAGATGCTCAACAAACTGTATGCTGCCTTCTTACTATCAGGTTTAATGATTGATTCTGATTCTGGCTCTCAAACTCATGTTGAATTGTTTTTCATTTAACAGATGACTGCAATGAAAGCTGCCAATAAAGAGCTGAAAGGGATGATGAAGACTGTCAGGATTGAAGATATAGATGTATGCAACATCCTGTTTTGTACCAGATTCATTATTTGCTTGCTTAATTTATCCTGTCTATTTTTGTTTTAATTACATCTGAATCCATACTTGTTTTAATAATCATCCGCAGAGCATGCAAGACGAGATGATGGATCTTATGGATGTGAGCAATGAAATACAAGAAACTCTTGGTAGAAGCTACAATGTCCCAGATGATATCGATGAGGAGGAACTTATGGGTGGTATGAAACTTATTGCAGTTTCCTATTCTTAGATAATTCAAGCGCCAGATATTATCACCTTAAAGTTACTGAATTTTCCTTACAGTGGTAACCAGCCAGGAGCCACTCTTCAATTTAAATTCTGTAGTTGAATTTGATCTAGCAAATTCTCAGTTTTTATCAGCTCTTAGGTCTAGGATTTTACCTGAAACGTTACCTTGGCACTTTTGTCGTAAGCCCTGTACTATTAATTTACTGACAAGACATTTCTCTTTTTGCTGCGCTCATTTTGTATCTTAAAAAATGTAGAGCTTGATGCTTTCGAAGCTGATATGGACTTCGAATCAAATTCAGTCCCATCGTACCTCCAACCAGACAAGGAGACAGATCTTGATTCCGAGCTTAACTTACCTGCTGCACCAAGTGGTCATGCAGCAATCCCGGCAAACCGGCAGCAGGTAGGGATACTTACTAGTTTCTAGTGACATTGATTATGGTGCTGATATCCCGAGGAAATTGACGGCTCATTTCATGTCCCCGCAACCACAGTTCTTGGAGCTATAAACATTTTTTATTATTTTGTCACATGATTTAATCGATAGGCGAGATACTTGAGATAATTTATGAACTAATTTGCTCTCCTTGTTTTTACCTGTTGGTGCAGGAGGATGAACTTGGACTGCCTACGGTGCCGCACGCATCAATTCGTACCTGAAACTAAAAATACGTGTAGGTTTGATCTTGATGTAAATGGTCGGCGCTATGTTTCTGCATGGACAAATTCATTGTATCTTTCGTCATATACCACTGCAATTCGTTGAACGATGTAATGTCCTTTTTCCATTGGTTTGGAATAATAATAGTGAGTGATAAAGCGAGCTGTTCTCTATACGGTTGTACATCATGTTGTTAGCATTGTCTGTCTGTGATTGCACTAACTAATTTGCTCTCATTCTGAGGTGAATTGGTATCTACTTTTTTTGATAATGAAATTATGGGCTTTTCATCTCATCTCATCTCATCCTTTGTTAAGTTTGTATTAGGCATGATGAAAAGAAGGTTGTATATTTGTTCCATGTCAATCTCGACAACCAATTCTTGAAATCTGGACACAATGCTCCATCATCATAAGTACAAGGACTTCATACTTCTGCCCTACAGACCTCCATAAGTACTTTTCCTCAGTGGCAATTTTCCTTTTTTTATGCACCTAGCCCCATGTGCTTACATTCATTTGTTCATGTTTATGCATTGACCAATTGATCATTGTGATCATTCCTGCTTAGTTCAAGGTGTTTTTAGGGATTTTTTATCTTGATGATTACCAGAGAACAATAAAGCAGGACTACATGATATCGCACCAGTTTTGGGTTCCTTTATTTTTCCCCATTTTTAGGTTCATGGGAGAAATAGTAGACAAAAAGAGAGATAGGACGCCATTTCAAGCACCCTTGCAGACAACAACCGAAAGGAAGTGTCACATGTGGATAAACGTACTACGTCTAAGCAAATATAAGTATAAACTCAACATATTACAAGCAACCCACAATAAAATTATACTTATGCATTCTTAGAAATTGGCAAGCGAACAAAAAGAGAAATATCAAGAACACATGACACCAATTTTTACGTGGAAAACCCTTGCGGGGAAAACCATAGGCACACGACGGTTATATTTCACTGTATGACGTGAGTGTACAACTCATCCCATGTTGGTATACATGGGGTATATATAGGTGGAATATGAGTGTCAAAAGTGGAAACATTTTATCGACCTCCGCCAAGATAGACCCTGGCTTCTCACTAGAATTCGGATCATACATCAACATGCATCCCTTGCTGTAATGTAAGTGCGCTGAAAGGCACGGGACTTGAACTAGAACAAGGTTGCTGGATGAGCGTTTGGTATGCCGCCCGCATGGTTGGCCTTGCTTGTGGAGAAGATTCCAAGCAAGAGAAGGCCAGCTTGATGAGCAGAGCTAAGCTCTTCTCTTCTGTTGTTGTTGGTGTTGTCGGCCGTTGGTCCAGAATATCTTTCACAAGTATAGCTTGTTCCCCGCTTGACAAACTACCGTCTAATAGATCCCTTGGATGCTTCCCTATCACTAGCTCTAGCACCACCACGCCAAAGCTATAGACATCACATTTCTCTGTCACAGCAGATGTGTACGACAGTTCTGCACAACATTGATCAAAACATTAGGATTAGGAACAAATGACTGAGATGAATGCTTCTGGTGAGAATAAGGTTATGCTAGAACATACCAGGAGCTATGTAGCCATATGTTCCTGCTAGTGCACTCCAGTTTGATGAATCGGGTTTAAGAATCCTTGCCGTGCCAAAATCCGAGACAAAACCCTTGAAGGATGTATCAAGTAAGATGTTGTTGCTTGTGATATCTCGATGGATTATAGGTGGACTGCATTCGTGGTGCAAATAAGATATTGCTTGAGCCACATCAGTTGCAAGAGCAATTCTCTTCTTCCAATCTAATTCCTTTGCTAGCTCCTGATTTTCCAATATTCCGTGGAGGCTTCCCTGCTGAATGTAGTCGTAGACTAGAAACTTATACACTGGATGGGAGCAGAATCCATACATTTTGACAATGCTTCGTTGTCGGATCTGTGTTAAGATTTCCATTTCACTACGAAATCTTCTTTCATCATCCAACTCTTCGGTCTGATGAAGCTTCTTCACAGCAACCAGCTCCCCATCTTGGAGTTGTGCCTTGTAGACTTTGCCGTATCCTCCTGTTCCAGTGATGTACTTATCATCGAAGCCTTCTGTTGCCCTTAAAATATCGTCAAATGCCAATCTTCCATCAAAGTTCAAAACAGAGAACAGGTCCCTTGCTTCAGCAATAACACCTTCTTGTGGTTTTGTCTTGTTACGACTAAGCATTATTACAACAGCAATTGCAGCAATAATACTGAAACCCACCACAAGAACAATCGGCAAAAGCAAACCAAGTATCTTCCCTTTATGGTGACCAACTACTGGAGATGAATAACAAGGTGGCAGGCCAGAGAGGTTACCGCACATACCTTTATTGGGAAGAAACCAGCTTGCTGAAGCATTGTGGAGTAGCCATGTTGTTGGGACTGGTCCTTCCAAGTCATTGTAGGACACATCAAATGTTGAAAGGCTCACCATGCTTCCAAAGGAGGATGGAATGTTGCCACTGAATTGATTATGCGATAAATTCAGAAATTCTAGCATCCCCAAATTCCCGAATTCCGCGGCAACACACCACTGAGGTTATTGTTGCTCACATCTAACATGATCTGCAAGGCTGCTAAATTTCCAATCGCACCAGGCAAACTCCCACTGAAGCTATTGTTGTTGATCTTTAGGTACTGTAGTTTCGTGAAGGCCCCTAGTTCCTCAGGTATCAATCCATTCAGTCTGTTCCCAGATATATCAAGATATCCTAGATTGCGAAGCTTTTCTATCTGTTTAGGTATGGATCCAGATAATTGGTTTGATGATAAGTTCATGTTATAGAGATTTGCTAAACTGCAGATTTCTGGTGGGATCTCGCCGCTGAGATGATTAGAATCAAGTCTTAGTGCTACTAGGTTTGAAAATTTAGAAATGATTGGAGGTATGGAACCCGTGATCATATTGTGTGCTAAATATAGTATCGTTAGTTGAGTACTTGCACCAAGACTTGGCGAGATCTGCCAGTGAGTCTATTTGATGACAAGCTCATCCCTATGAGTTCTGGATACACACCAAAATGCTGAGATATATCTCCTGTTAGTTTGTTCGATTGAAGGTCAATTTTAACCAAACTCGTACATGTCTTTAAACTCCTTGGAATGAGGCCACTAAACATATTAAAAGAGGCATAGACATTTTTTAGTCTGCCACCTAAACATATATTTGCAGGTAAATGTCCTGAAAGTGAGTTGTTAGAAAGTGCAAGTTCCACAAGTTTGATGAGATCTCCAAATTCTTGAGGAAGGGAACCTGATAATTTGTTATCAAAGACTTGCATTATTTTGATGCTTTGCAACTTCCCAAAAGTTTTTGGTATTGATCCCGAAATTTGGTTCTGAAAAAAGGCTAAATACTCGAGGTTCATTAGATTGCCAATTTCTTGGGGGATGGAACCGGTTATGTGATTTACAGATAGGGTCAGCTCTACTAGCTTAGTCATATTTCCTAAGATGCTAGGAATAGAACCAGATATTTGGTTGTCATCTAGTTGTAAACTCTGGAGATTCTGCAAGAGACCCAATTCTAATGGTATTGGACCTGTGATTTGATTTGTATATAGAGCAAGGGAATTGAGCATGGTGAGGTTCCCCAACTCTGGGGGTATTGAACCGGTTATTTGACTTTTGTAGACATAAAGTCGGTTTAGCATAGCGAGATTGCCTAGTTCTGAGGGTAATGAACCTGTGAGTGGATTTTCACCGAGAAAAAGATCATTCATCTTAGTGAGATTGGTTATCGAGATTGGAATTGGACCTGAAAAATCATTTATACTAAGCTGAAGACTTCGCAAATGTACTAGCCTGCCTAGTTCTTGGGGTATAGGTCCTGAAAGTTGATTACCATAGAGAAACAAAGTATTTAGTTGGGTCAGATTTCCAAGGGTTTTTGGTATCGTGCCGCTTAAGGTGCTGTTGCTTAGCTGTAGAACTTGTAGGTTGACAAGCCTTCCAATCTCCTCGGGAATGGGGCCTGATAGCATGGTTTGGTGAATGAAAAGATCAGTTAACATTGTTAGATTACCCAGAGACACAGGGATATGCCCTGTGAGTCTGTTATATGCGAGGCCAAGCCGCCTGAGACTTTGCAGGTGACCAATCTCATAGGGAATTTTCCCTGTGAGCTGGTTGTATTGAAGGCCAAGTACTGAAAGTGCTGACAGGGAGCTGATACTAGAGGGCAGTGCACCATGGAGACTATTGTTAGTAAGGTTGATATATTCAAGGAATGGAAGAGCCGAGAAGTTGAGCTCACCAAGCTGGCCACGGATGCCAGCATCTGGCAGGGAGATGTTGGTGACCACCCAGGGCATGTGGCGGCCATGGCGAACAGCCGTGCACATGATGCCCGTCCAGTTGCACGAGCTGGTGTTTTCCTGCCAAGAGCTCATCTGCGGTGGTGGGCTCGCAAGTGTAGCTTTCCAGTGGAGGAGGGCCATGTGTTGCGACCTCAGTGAGATCCCTCCATGGTGCGCCGCATCTGCTTCTTCCAAGAGCAGAAGGCATGATACAAGCAGTAGGCAACGGTACAACAGTGGTATTGAGGAAGCTGGCATTTTGCTGCCTTGTGTTTTCATGTTGTGTATCGCTTGGGGGATGTGGTTCTGTGCACACTCCAACTATCGGTATTTAAATAGTGTGGTGTCCATTGTTGTGAGGTCCTCATTCAGCCAACACTCAACAGTTGAGTGGAAGCTCTATTCTTCTCCCCTGCAAAAAAAAAAAAAAAAAAGGATGACTATTCTTCAGTGTTGCCATCTCTTCCTTTATTTTCTTTCCTCATACCAGTGGAAAAACTGAGGCAGCAATTACTCCTAGAATGCAACTGAAGGCAGCGATGGTAAGCCTACTGATCATATCTTTCCCAGTTTCCCAGTTAACATCGGGGTTGAGTGATTGGTTTCCTAGTATTTCTTGTTCATTTGATCATTTAACTTGTAACTGCTTCAGTTATGGCAATCCGATAAAGTAATTGAAGTAGCTTGTCTTCAGCTATTCTCTACAGTACCAGTACTAATGTTTTCCTTGTCCACTTTTCCACTGCTACATAGGAGAACAAAACATTAAGGGCGCATGGCTGGTAGCGCAATGCACCGATTAGTTGTGGTAAAGATTCCGCTCTGGAATTACATCAATGATAAAAAAAAAGGTTTCTATGTTCAATCTTGGTTAACACAAATCGTGGATCCCATGTCTTGTTGAAAGGCCCGAGTCTGAGGGAAAATGCATGGGGCCAGTGGCTGCAACTTGTGGAATTTAAAGCCTATACAAACCAAGCAGCATCACGACCACACAAAAAAAAAGGGCAACCTGGTGCATGTAGCTCCCGCTTGCGCAGGGTCCAGGGAAGGGTCCGACCACTTTGGGTCTATAGTACGCAGCCTTTCCCTACATTTCTGTAAGAGGCTGTTTCCAGGACTTGAACCCATGACCTCATGGTCACAAAGCAGCATCACGACCACACAAGCCGAAGGAAAAAGAATCCAAGCTCAAATGGGTTACTGGCGCTTTCTGTAGTCTGCCGGCCTGCGTACGTGTTGGTTGCCGTGTAACATCCGGCATGCCAATATTCCCAGGTATGCCCTTTGTGATTTATGAGTAATCAAAAGGGTGCAAATATTACTATTGCTTCTGTACTTGAATAATCAGAATAACCCAGCTATTTCACTTAGCTAAGTATCCCCACGCCAACATCGTCTGGACGAACTCTTTAAATCATGGTCCCTGCGAATGAGGCTTGCGGAGAATACTCTCGGTTGCCCCAAGATTTGTGTAAGACACATATCTGCAAGATTCGAGCTCTCCACCTTGGTTTGATAGTATTCCTTGTATATTTGATCATGTAACTTGTAGCTGCTTCAATTGTGGCAACTCCACTAAAGAAATTGAAGCAGCTTGTCTTAAGCTGTTCTGTTCTGTACAGTACTAATGTTTCCCTTAATCGCTTTTTAGAATGCAACACAACGATTAAACGTTGGGAATATTCCGTGGTGGAATTCTATCGGTGGTAAAAATAAAGTATTCAGTGTCTTAAGCTGCCGCTGGATGACTATTCTTCAGTGTCGCCATCTCTCTCTGCTGGAATTTCCAAGCTCTTGTTTGGACGCTGGCACACCCCGTTGGCAGCTGTTGCTGGGCTGCCTATTTTCCTTCTTCAGTGTCGCCATCTCTTCCTCTATTTTCTTTTCTCATTCCTGTGGGAAAATGACACAGGACCTTTCCCAATTCTCCTCTGTCTTCAGTGCCGCAGCCTCGCTTTCTTGTAATGTGCAGAATGGGCTTGAGTTAACACTCGCAGTGGAGTTTTTATTTGATGGTATCTCCTCTGATTTATTCGACGACAATTCCTTGTTTATATTTGATTGTGTAACCTGTTAAGGCTGTTACTGCTTCAGTTATGGCAATTCCGTAAATAAATTGGAGCAGTTTGTCTTGAGCTATCCTCTACATGTTTCAGTTTTCAGTACATAGAACACAATAATTAGCTCAAGGACTCATGGCTGGTGGCGCAGCGTAAGGTCAAATTGCAGAAAAATTCCGTGATGGTGCCTGGTGGTAAAACTCAGGTTTCAATGTTAAATTGTGGTTAATACAAATGCTGGACCCCAAGTCTTGTTGGAAGTCATTGTGTCCGAGGAAAACGATGAAGTGGCACTGTACAACCATACAAGTCTTGTTGGAAGTCATGCAGAATTCATAGCCTGTTCAGACTGAAGCAAAAATCCAAACTCAAGTGGGTCGACGCTTGCCGGCCCACGTACGTTGTCGATAGCTTACAACATCTAACGCAGCGATATTCCCAGGTATGCCCCTTCATAATTTATGAGTAATCAAATGAGTGCAAATTAAATCCACTTGTCGACCTCTGATATTCCGTCGAAAATCTGAGAAGGCACTGAGCAAGGTAGAAGAAGACTTGTTTTGGAATAATGGTGAGTGATAATGGAAGCTGCTTGCCATACGGTAGTTGTACATCCTCACTAGCTGAGTTGAACTATGATGGACTTTCGAGGTTGAATTGGTGTCCGCTCTCTTATCAGTACGTACATGGTTGTCTTATGTTGGAAGTTGTTCTCTGAACTCAGAACTTGTTAGAAATGGTTTCTCAACTCTGAACTCAGAACTGGTAGAAATCCAGTTCTCTTATCTCCTTCTCTATTAGAAAGGGATAAAGGGAGCTGTTCTCTGAACTTCGACAATTGTTCAGACTGGTATGTTTGCTGCTAAATTTCCCGAAGAGAGAAGTTGGCAGGCACCTAACCTAGCTGACATTACGTTTTGAAAGTACGTTTTGCCTTAAGATATTCTCTGCAGTATCAATGTTCCCCTTTTCGCTTTTCAGATGCTACATAGTAGTAGTACAAAATATCATTGTGTGAAAAATTCCGTGCTGGAAATTCTGTCGATGGCAAGGATAAAAGGTTTCTGTGCAGAATTTTGGTTGGCGCAAATCCAGGACCGCAAGTCTTGTTGGAAGTCGTGCGTTTGGCTGCATCGTGCAGAATTCAAGGCCTGCAGAAGCAAGCAGCAGCATCTTGGACACACAATCTGAAGAAAAGTTTCAGGGCACCGGCTGTGGTAGAAATAAAGGTTTCATTGTTGAACTCTGTTTAATACAAATCCTGGACCATAAGTCTTGTTGGAAGTCGTCTGGCCATGGCTACAACTTCTGGACACAAAGCCTATGCAGCCAAGCAACATCTTGACCACACAAACTGAAGAAAATACAAACTCAAGTGGGTTTTCTGTACGTCTACCAGCACGCGTATGTGTTGGTTGCCGTGTAACGTCCGACATGCCAAAAATTTCTTCTTCAATGTCGCCATATATCCTCTATTTTCTCCTGTGGAAAAAATGACAGATTAATTTTCTCCTGTGAAATTTTTCCTAGACAATGATGCAAACTCTATAGCTCATGAGCTAGCGAAATCTAGTTTTTATATCAAGTGTGACGATAGTTGGACTAATGAACCTCCAGGGATGTAATTGTTCTTTAATTCAATAAAGCTAGCCATGATGAAATTTGTGTGTTTGGATGCATCTTGTGGAATTCAAGGCATCTAGAAGCAAGCAGAAATGATGCAACGAGCTGCCTTGTCATTAAAATAAAAAGGATTCCGAAAATCAGAATCCTTTGAGCGGTTTTACAATTTCAGGATCTTTGTACCAAGCAAACACATGAATCCCTCAAATGGTGTCTTAATTCCTGCTATTTTCATACACTCTTCATATATACTCTTGACAGGCAAAAAGAGATGTGACCCCCTCAAAAAGGTAAACATCCACAATTATGCTACTACCTCTGTACACTAATACAAGACGTTTTTGAAGTTCAATTCAACTGCAAAAGCGTCTAACATTAGTGTAGAGAGGGTGTAGCAACTAGCACTATTCTTTTAAGAAGCAATCAAAGACATCCTCCAATGGAGTCAATATCAACAAAACAAGCATCAAAACTTAACTTATTACTACATTCATCCATACCAAAATTGACACGCGGACATAGCAGGCAGATATATGTCTTCAAAATCACTTACGCAATAAAAAAGGGGTTCATGACAATTGCTTAAATAATACAAATAACACCAAAAGGACATATAGTGCCTCCACGGCAGAAACATGGAATCTTGTGGCCTACTTATGCCGGTTTCGAAACGGCTACAGAGGATAGAAATTAGGCAACAAGAATTACGGTTGATAATAATACACAAGTGGTGCCTACCATTAAAGTTTCATTAATTAATTGCCATCCGGAATTCATCATAAAGGAAAACCATTGCCGTAAAGGTAGAGGGCAACAAAAAGTCCAGACAAGCGAATCTGGGTCGGATGACGCACAGCCTATGTTTTTAAGGCGTCCGTAAGGCGACGCCTAGGCGTCGAGGCGCCCCCCAGCGCTTTGCGCTTTAGGCGCC